AGCAGCAGAGAGCCTCCGAGTCTCGCCAAAAGGAGCGCCGCAAGCTCTGGGAAAGACGCCACACCAACCGCGAAGTCACCAAGCAGCAGACCAAGAAGAACAACGAGAAGCGCGACCGCAAGCTCGCTAAGAAGGCGGAAGCAGCCAAGGCGAAGGCTGACCTCGAGGCAGCTCAAAAAGCCGCTGCGGAAGCCAAGAAGGCCGAAGAAGCAAAATTTTTGGAAGATGCAGAGGCAAAGAAGAAAGATGCAGAGAAGCCCAAGGACCAAGCCGTCCAGACGGAAGTCGCTCAGGAAGAGTCCAAGGACGTTGCTGCAGGTGACTCCAAGTCAGATGGCACAAACGAGTCCAAGGAGGAATCCAAGGACGAAGGCAAGCTGGAGTCCAAGGAAGAGTCTAAGGAAGAGTCTAAGGAAGAGTCCAAGGAAGAGTCCAAGGATGAAGTCAAGGAGGATGTCGCCGACGAAAAAGCTGCAGATAAGACTGCTCCCAAACCGCCAGCGCAGAAGTCTTACAACTCGGATGGCGATTCATCCGACTCGCCCATCGAAGATTGGGAAGAGCTGTATAGCGAGGATGACATGGTCAGAAAGCCGCGCCTGACTCCCGCTGGACCACCCAAAAGACGCGACGAGCGTTACGAATCTGAGGAGGAGGAGGGTCTGCCTGATCCCTGGAACGCCATCTGCATTGTTGGAGTGCGCGTCTACTCCATGGACGAGGATCTTGAAGTCCGTGTCTGTATGGAAGGTGGCGAGCTTCTCGAGAATGGCATGGGCAAGAAAGGGGAGGCCGATATCGACAATGCCCAGGTGAACGCGGGTGGAGAGCGCGAAGAGCTGAAGCCTGACAGCTCAGAAGCCGCGAAGCCTGATGTCGATTCAGCCGCGATCGAAGAGACAGAAGAAGCGGCTGAAGAGCCCAAAAGCGACGAAGAGGAGAAGAATGAGGACTCAAAGTCGGAAAGGTCGGACAAGAATAGTGTCGACTCAACTGACTACGACAAGCTTCACTTCGGAACTTCGACACCAGATGTCGTCGCCGCCCCAGAAGCGACCCCAATCGAGTCACACAAGGAGTTATGCTAGGGGCCATTAGATAGGCGTAGATTAAGGATGGACGATGGCACAATGTAGACTTGCTCATGAACAATATTCATTTCGCTCTTGTGGTATCGTCTTTGGACCCATCAGTGACCTAAGAGTCCATGAATGGCAAAGGAGCCGTTGACGCAGCGAGCGACACCTACACGCCGTATCTCACTTCTCGATGCACTTGAGGTCCGCATAGTTAGAGAGAGCAACGAGGGTAGTATGGGCAAAAAAAGGAGTGGTAGATTCAGACAACGCCCAGTGAACACGGGTGGAGAACGTGACAAACACGAAGGATTCGACATTGACAAAACCGAAGTTGCAGTTAGTTCCGTTGTCGACCTAGCGGCTAAGGAGACGGAAGCGACTCAATACTTCACTGGTGGATGGAGCCACGATGGCAGTGATGCCATGGATGGGACGCAAAGGGACGGGCGCCATGTCGGAGAAGTTTGACAAGAACAGCATCGACTCTACAGACCACGACAAGCTTCAGCCATCGGTAAAGTGAGCTTCGGAGAAGGCATATCGACATACAAAGCAAGGCAATGTATGTAGTCGGACACAGCTTCTGGTCATGCGAAGCTTGGACTTGGCGGTCGTGACAATGCAGATACTTGACCAAGACAACCCTCCCTTTCATCGTACCGCTCATCTCGTCGTCTAGGTTTAGGCGCCCTACGATTCGATCTGCGCGCTCCTGGCAAGAGGATTACGTGCTAAGATTTCAGCATTCCCTTGCACCAAAGTTAGAGGTCTCGTCCACGCGTGGCGGTGTGGGTGTCCTGATCCGAGCGCAACTGTAGTCGAAGTCACTCGCAGAGGCAGGGACACGCAGCGATGGGGTTGGCTACCCTCCATCAGGCGGGCGGCCGCGCTGGCCAAGAACCCCCGCTCAACTACGGTGGGCGATCGTGAGCTGGACCCCAAGCACGTCGGATCCACCGTGCCTTTGCAGGCACCCTTGTAGCGTGTAGTGTAGACACTCCACTTGGCTGCACCTCAAGTTTGTTCTCATCGGGGCACCCAGGCCGACCCTGCGGCGTCGATATAGCAACACATAGGTGTATGACCGTGAAGTGAATACGCGCAAGCTGCTGCTCAAAGATGGCCTCCCCCGGCAAACAGTTGAGTGGCGACGCCCACGGGCCTCCCACCAAGACCACATTCTCACGTTCCATTCTGCTGCTGCCTGGACAGCTTGATACGCCCCCTGTTCTCCATGTCATGAATGCAAACCTATCAAATACATTTGGCGCGT